GACACATTCAAATGCGCGCAAAGACTCTCTATTCCCCCTCTACCCCCCCCATCCCAGCTGCAAACAGTCCTGAAGAATTCCAGTCTGCTGGTGGAGAGAAGCAGTGAGTGGTGAGGGTTAGGAGAGCTTGAGCCTGAGGGTCGAGGGTGATGGATGGATGGAGTCCTCCTCAGACGTCAGCCACGGGTGGAAGAAAAGGGAAGAAGAGCAGGAATTTGGCTGTCTGTTTATTTCAGCCTCCTACAGGGGGTCATAAATTTCTCTGAAATGTTTGAGCCGGCAAAACAAAGATCTTACCTTGAGGATACAGCAGTTAGAAAAACATTCTTATCAGTCTTATTTAAAACAATAAAAGGAAAAGAAATAGAATAATTGCAATTGTTAAAACATACACCCAATTTTTAATTTTGTTAAAAACAAAAAGGAAGAAGACCACTTGGGAAATTCCCAAATTTGAACCAAATTCTTGAAGTATAAAAGGAGACACTGTTATAGAGCACCTTGTTTAGGCCATGGGGTGATCAGTCCCATAGCGGTCACAAAGCAACTCCTCCGGAGTCCAGTAACAGGTTGATCAGGCCTGGTACTGTCACCGGGATGTCTCTGGCTCTTTAGGCTGTTATAATTTGCAATGTATCAACTAACAACATTAGCACAGGTATGCAGAAATTACTGATTTTTCCTAAAAGGAGACACCGATTTACTCAACATGAATTATCCAATTTGCACTGATTTTATGTTGTCTGTCATTTAAATCAGATGCAACCCATGTATTTGAATTCACCGGTGTCTGTAAAGTAAGCTTGACCTTACCAATGTTTGGCAGGTTTGCCAAAACAGTTTGTCCAGGGTGGAGAGGAATTTTGGATTTGTTGTAAGGTCTTCTGTGCTTGTCATCATCCTGAGTAGGTGATGCAGGGAAAAAAGCATTTAGGCGAGGGCACCCGTTCACCCCCCACCTATTGTTTACAGTAGAGACTGCATAACTCAACCTCTCATCCCATCTGGATTCCTGTGGACGAATGAGACTTTTAATTAATCCATTAGTACGTTCTACTATCCCGTTAGCTTGTGGGTAATATGGGACATGAAATGTCCATTTGATACCTTCCCTTTTAGCCCATTGTTGTACCAGATGTGAGGTGAAATGAGTTCCATTGTCAGATTGAATATTTGTGGGTTTAGGGAGAACCCCAAATACCTTTTCCAGAAAATGAACTGTGTTTTCCCCATTTGCTTTAGAAACAGCTTCAGCACAGGTTAATCCTGATACCACCTCCACGATCACAATGATATATTGTTTGTTTCCAGATTTGCGGAAGGGACCGATGTAGTCCACCTGCCATGTGGACCACAAGGGTTTTCCTTCCCTGATATGCAAATGATCAGATGTCAGTGGATGTTCCCCAAGTCTGATTTTGCAAAGATCACATGAAGAAATGACTGTTTTGCACTGCTCACGGGTGACAGGCCACCCACGGGCTTGTGCCTCTTTGATCAAAGATCAAAGATTGATCAAAGATTGATCAAAGATCAAAGATTTCCAAATGGCCTCTTTTACAGTGGAGTCATTCTAGCAATTTTTTCCATTCCTGATTTTCTCCTTCTGTGATAGCTGATCGGATTTCTTTCACATTAATTCTAGCTAGCTCATCAACATAGTTATTCCATTTACTAGCTTCACTTTTCAAGGGATCCACCCTACATGAAAATTAGGGTTTTCCTTAGCAATTTTCAATATTTGTTGCCATTTCTCTTTATGCCAAACTGGCACCCCATTAATCTCCCAATTATTCTGTTCCCAGAAAGTTATCCACTCTACACAGCCTTTGAAAACTGCAAAAGAGTCTGTGTAAATGTACACAGCATCCTTGGAGGCTTTTTCTTTTACAAAAACATTGAGAACAGCATCCAGCTCCCCCACTTGGGCACTGCCCTTATCATGATTTATTATTTGTTCGCCTTTGGAGGGTTTAATTGCAGCAGATTTAAACAACCAGGTTTTCCCTTCCCTTCGTGAGGAAGCATCTGTAAACCAAGCATTAAGCATTTCACTCTTGTATTCCGGGGCTTCTTTAATAGGACTGGGAGTTTTCATTGTTAAATCTTTCTCATCTGTCGATCCAATTTGTTCCTGAATCTTCAATTGTTTGTCCGGACCTTCTTCAAGTTTGAAAAGGCCAGAATAGTACTCAATTTGGCTGTGTTAGGCTCAGGTAGGCTTAAGCCATGCAGTGGTCCCTCAAATTAGCCAGTTAGCATTGGCCAGGTATATACTCTTAGAGGCAGTCTTTAACCTTTTGTCCATTTTTCTGCCAGTTATCATAACCCTTATGCTCTTTTCTTGCTGTGGACTTCTCTGGTAGAGCAAGAAGCCTGCTCCAGTCTGTCCTTGGCTAAATCAGCAAAAAGACACCATTCTTGTTTTGCTGGCTTGCAAGGCATTTTGTTTAGTCTTATGTGGGGGGAGAGAAGATGGACCGTTCCTCACAGTTACTATAGGATACACTTTTATCTTGACTGTATTCCAAAATCCTGCACACATTTCTAAGTTAGCAACCATAAAACATCTAAGCAGAAATTTACACCTTTCTTATCTTGAGATTGTCTATGTGGTTTTTGTTCGACACTAGGTCTGTAGGTTTAAAATTTTGTCTTGTGAGTTATTCATAGCTTAAAGTGCTATTCTAGTATGACTGCTGTCAAAAACAATTCCCTGCCTTGTAAGACTATTTTTTCCTCCCCCACTCCCCAGCTGCTTAGCAACTTTAATGAAATAAATATTTCATTGAGTTAGGATGTTTATAAAATGATAAAAGACTTGCAGGAAGACAGATATAGCAAAAAATATTCAGTGGTGTACTTGTGAGAATACTAGTTGTCAGGATCGACAATTACACCAGTGACAATAATGCTCTTGATCCTGTCTAAAAATAGGGAAAGGAGAGAGATAATGAAGGAGAGAAACTTTTCTGATTGAAATCTAAAGTAGACAGCTTTTAATGAAATACTAATGATAAAATAAAATATGTACAATTATATACAAGTATGTGCAGGAATTTGCAAAACCCTATTGCATCCCCTCGCCCCTACCCACGGCACTCTCCTTGGCTGTGAGCAGTTCCAAAATGTCTTGGACTGCTGCTGGAGATAGCAGCAGAGCAGACAGGAGCTGAGAGTAGAGTTATGAGGGTCAGGAATGTATGAGCCTAGGGATCAATGGTGATGGATAGATGGAGTCCTCCCTGGATGCCGGCCATGAATGGAAGAGAAGGGAAGAAGAAGACGGAATGGGCTTGATTTCTGTGATCTCTGATCTTACACTGAGCTTACATAGTTATATGGAATGGAATGCTTTGGTCAATTTTGCTGTCCATCTAGTCCTCTCCTTCCTATGGGGGGGTTGCTTTTCTAGCATCTGATGCTGCAAAGTGTTCCTGATATCTTGGCAGTAACATAAACATTTCAGTGTTATTAGTCCACTATCTGGAAAACTTGCTGCTAGTTAAAAGAGATTTCTCTAAAGGAAAAAAAAATCAGTAAAAGGAAAATTTGCTTAATCCTGGCTCAAACTAGAACACTACTGCTATTTAAGAGCATTTAATAATGAAATGACTTGCATCTATAAATAGTGATCTTCGATTTAAGTGTTTTGAGAATGTTCGGTATTTGGAATATCATATGAGAACACTTTTAAAAGTTCAAACCAAATCTTTGTTCCATAACTTGTAAACTGGCAATGGTCAGGTCATGTTCAGAGAATGGCTATTCCTCCAGTGTTCACTGACTTCAACTGGGTGGGGGCTTTCCAGGCCATGTGTGGCTTACAGATCCATTAATGTCTGTTAGACTTCATTATCAATCTCCTATTAATTGAACTAATTTTTAGAGGTGTTGGGTTTTTTTAACTTTTGCCTTCCTAGTTGTGGAAGACACAGATAAGGTAGAGTTACTGAATGCCTTCTTTGCTTCAGTCTTCACTGCTAAAGCTGTCCCTCATGAATCCCAGACCCTGGAGGCAAGGGGAAAGGACTGGAGAGAGGAAGACTTTCCCTCAGTAGAGGAGGACTGCCGCAAGCGCAATGAGGCAAACAAAAAAGACGAGGCTAGGCTAGTGATATACTCGTGGTAATATGACTAATTTTAATCATGGATCAATGTTTCTTATATAGGATAGAAACAGTATGACATAATGGTAATCTTGTTCTCAAAAAACAAGGAATAATAGACCATAATTATACAAAAGTATTTTAAATTATTATTATCACTTATTTTTACCAACTGCAAATATTAGTTACAAGATTTACTACTCTCCTAAGTGCCCATTAATTTATTACATAAGTATCCCGGATAGATTTATTAGTCTCCTGTTCTCCAAGTATCCATTAGTTCATTATGCTAATATCCTAAATAGGTGTGTTGTTTTCCAAGTATCTATTAGTTTGTTACACAAGTTTTCTAGATAGATATATTGTTCCCCAAATATCTTCAAATATCTATGAGATCATCATACAAATATCCTGGACAGAGTCAGAAGTTAGTAGAGTACATTATCCAAGAGTTAATAGGATAATTATCCCACTATCCAAGATATAGATCATCCAGCTCTCTCAGCATTTGTCTGGTGATGGGCCTTGCCACATCACTCGTCCTTTGAATGACCTTGCCTTTCAGAGGTCTCAGGCTGCTGAGCTGATTCTCCACAGAGGACTGGGTTAGAGACCACTTGGCCAAACTGAACATCCATAAGTCCATGGGCCCTGATGGGCTGCACCTGCCAGTGCTGAGAGAGCTGGCAGATATTATTGCTGGGCCACTCTCCATCATCTTTGAAAGGTCATGGAGAAGAGGAGAGGTGCCTGAGGACTGGAGGAAGGCCAGTATCACTCCAGTCTTCAAGAAGGGCAAGAAGGAGGACCCATGGAACTACAGGCCGGTTAGTCTCACCTCTGTCCCTGGGAAGGTGATGGAGCAACTCATTCTGGATGTCATCTCTAAACATGTTGAAGAACAGGAAGTTGTTTGGAGTGGTCAACATGGATTTACCAAGGGTAAATCATGCTTGACCAATCTGCTAGCCTTCTATGATGACATAACAGGTTGGCTAGATGAGGGGAGAGCAGCAGATGTCATCTACCTTGACTTCAGCAAGGCTTTTGAAACTGTCGCCCGTAACATCCTCATTAGGAAACTGAGGAAGTGTGGGCTAGATGAGTGGACAGTGAGGTGGATTGAGAGCTGGCTGTGTGACAGAACTCAGAGGGTTGTGATTAACAGAGCAGGGTCAAGTTGGAGGCCTGTAACCAGACCCCCAAGGGTCAATACTTCAGTCCAGTATGTTCAACATATTCATCAATAACCTGGAGAGGGGACAGAGTGTATCCTCAGCAAATTTGCTGATGATACCAAACTGGGAGGGGTGCCTGACCCTCCAGAGGGCTATGCTGCCACCCAGCATGATCTGGACAGCAGTAGAACTGGGCAGAGAAGAACCTAATGAGGTTCAACAAGGGCAAGTGTAGGGTCCTGCACCTGGGGAGGAAGAACCCCATGCACCAATATAGGTTAGGGGTGGACCTGCTGGAAAGCAGGTCCAAGGAGAAGGATCTGGGAGTCCTGGTAGATAGTAAATTATCCATGAGTCCACAATGTGCCCTTGTTGCCAAGAGGGCCAATGGAATCCTGGGTTGCATAAAGAAGAGTGTGGCCAGTAGGTCGAGGGAGGTCATCTTCCCCCTCTACTCTGCCCTGGTGAGGCCACATGAGGAATACCATCAGGAATACTGCATCTAGTTTTGGGCTCCCCAGTTCAAGAGAGACAGGGAACTGCTAGAGAGAGTCCAGCGGAAGGCAACAAAGGTGATTGGGGGATTGGAGCATCTCTCTTATGGGGAAAGGTTGAGAGAGCTGGGACTCTTTAGCCTGGAGAAGAGAAGGCTGAGGGGAGATCTTATTAATGCCTACAAGTATCTAAAGGGTGGGTGCAAGGAGGATGGAGCCAGACTCTTTTCAGTAGTTCCCAGTGACAGGACAAGGGGCAATAGGCACATGCTGGAACATAGTAAGTTCCATTTAAATATAAGAAAGAACTTTACTATGAGGGTGACAGAACACGGGAATGCTGCCCAGGGAGGTTGTGGAGTCTCCTTCTCTGGAGATATTCAAAACCCATCTGGATGCAGTCCTGAGTAATGTGCTTTAGGCGATCCTGCTTTATCAGGGAAGTTGGACTAGATGATCTCTAGAGGTTCCTTCCAACTCTGAAAATTCGGTGATTCTGTCCCTGTGGTATGTGAAAGGGATCTGCTGGGGAAACGTGTTTGGGTTTTTCCTGCTTCAGGCAAAGGTAAACCTGTCCTGGGGGTTGCTTTTGCTCAGGGACCTGGACATACCTGGTGTGCGATGATGGAGGATGAAGTATAATATGTACCTCAAGGAAATATAACTCTGGGGAAGAATCCTTAATTTGACAGTCAGTAGAACATAGAGCCTATGTATAAATATATGATCTGGAATAAGGGGTGGAATGTCCTGGTTTTAGCCAGGATGAAGCCAATTTTCTTTTTACTGATTTTTTTTTTCCTTCAGTAAACTCTCTTTTAAGCAGCACACTTGCTGAAAGTAGCAGCAAGTTTTCCAACTAGCGGACTATTAAAGCCTGAATGTTTATGGTTACTGCTGAGAGACCAAGGACACTTTGCTCTGCTTGTTGAATCTGCTGCTTTGGGCACTAAAGGAGCAGAAGACTTTTATCTATAACCATCTTGTAGGGAGGAGCAGAGCAGACAGATAGCAAAATCATTGAACAATAGTATTCCATCCCAGGAAAGTGGTGTAGTGGTGTCACTTCATTGAAAAATACTAACTTTAAAAATAAATTCAGTTTTCATTACTAGACAGGGGAAAAAAATTCTAGTGATTGAATTGTTTGCAGAATAATATAACACTTTGTGAACAGAAAGAAGTGTATATTTACAAACAGCTGTGGCATGATAAATATGCACTCCATATTTTACATAATATTGATTTTTCATATTATTATTACTTCATTGGTGTCATATTGTCTATGGATGTAAAATCATGTTAATATTTCTCAGGAAACTCAAATAAGCCTGAGGGATATCAGTAATGTCAAATGCTTGATGTCTTAAAAACGTAACACGTTTATTTTCACTACATATAAACTGCGCTTTATATCTTGCAGTTCTTGATATCTTGCTGTTTTGTTTTGTATCACTTTCCTGAAGTTCCCCTGTTCTTCAAAGAGCATAGACTAAGTGTCAAAACTAATAGGGGGTGAGTCTGTTTTATCTTACATGTTTCCAATACAGGAATGGTAGTTCATTAGCGATGCTACTTCAAAAGTGTATAAGGGCCAGAGAACTGCTTAGAGAACACAGTAAGCCTCTTTTTCTATTTGCTTTCAGGTGGAGATAGAAATATCTTACTGTATTTCATTCTTCACAGGGCTACACATCATTCTGGAATGATTGCATCTCCTCAGGATTGCGTGGCTGTATGTTAATCGAATTGGCATTGCGAGGGCGTCTTCAGTTAGAGGCTTGTGGAATGAGGCGCAAAAGTCTGTTAACAAGAAAGGTAAGTGGAGGAAAGTGGTCACGTTTACTTTTGTGCCATGCTCCAGGCGATACAGTAGCTATAAATTACAACTGGTTGTTAAGAAAAAAGTGTTTTTTCTTTATATGGGGATAGGGATTCCGAGTGGTGACCTAAGTTAGATGCAGAGTTATTACCTAAAGAATTTAAATGGTGAGCTGAAGTAGCTTGTAAAATCTATTTTACTTGTCCTCTGCTCCTGTTTGTTCTCTTGATGTCCTGTTGGGAACCTGGCACAAACAGTTGACAGTGGCTCTAGCCCGGTTGCAGTGGCAGCAGTTTCTGCTGAGAGCCAGTAGCACCAGTTGTAATCTGCTGAAAGAACTGGCTTTTGCAATGTTGGTGAGATATGGGTTGGGGCTGAGAGGGATGACTAACTCTCAGCCTGCCAGATGTATCCTGCAAGTCATCAGTTTAATTCTGCTGTACAGTGTTGCAGTTAGTGCTTGCAATGCATGGGAAGGAAACAATCCTTGTACTTTGGGCCCCTGAGAACACAAAACTGTATCTATTTTAAGCATGTGACCAGTGTGTTAAATTTGTCGTACTCACTGATGTTGGGCAAAATTTTAAGGTTCTTTATTGAATTAGTCTGATTATTTGAGGCACCTTAATTTATTACTTTTGCCTCTGGATTTTTTTTCTTTAGTATAAAATGTACTTGTAAAATAAGTTTATCGAAAACAAGGTCAAATGTTGTCTATCCATCACAAATGAATTATCTTTTATTGTGCATTTCCCTGTCAATATTATACCTTGCTAAATTTTTAAAGGAAAACTTACAAATTCCCCAAACTTCTCCCAGCTTCCTCCTCTTCTGAAGAATCGAACTTCTGTTCAGACAAACAGCTCCTAGTTCTTTTAGCTTCATTTAAGCATATTCAACTTTGATTATTTGCACTTTTGTTGTTTTTTTTTCTCTCAAAAGCTTTTAGCTCCTTAGGCATTCAGGAATGTTCTTTAGCAGTTATTTTTATTCTATACAAACGTTGTCAGGATTATCTATCTGAAATTTTAACTGTGTGTTTTTAGGAAAATGGAAAAAATAGCCTGTGCATATCTTCAGTAAAGAATACAAGCAAAATTATTGTTTTCCTTTTTTTAATTTTATCCTGTGATTTTTGGGGGTGGCTTGGTGTGTTTCTTTCAATTTTTATTTTTCCCCCATTGTTTAAGGAGAGCTACCCAATATTAAATGCTTTGTTCTTTCCGCTGTTGCAAGGCAATAGAGAGATTTCTTTTTGCAGGTAGGAGGGTTCTATGAAAAAGGCTTAATATAAAATTCAAATGAAGATTGATTTCTCCTTAAGGAATTTATTGCAAATAAATACCTAACTACTGTTGTTTCTTCTGTACTTGCCCTACCTCTCTCAATTTAGAAATCCTTCTCATTAATGACTTGTGTTGTTTTATAACTTATTTGAAGTCTTGCGTTAACACTAAATTTCAGTCTCATTTCTGTGTTTGTTAGATTTCATTGTCTCAACTTTACCAAGTGTCCCACTGTCGCGAGCCGGTACCAGAGGGCTACCGGCTGTCAGGATGTTTTCGCGACTCCCCCCCCCAATGTGGAGAGGTTTGTTAAAAAGCCCGAGCGTCCACCTCTCTCAGAGGAACGGCCGCTGAGGGTTCGTTTCTAAGAGGGTAGATTAAAGTACCCTCCCACCACGCTCACAAATTATTACTGAAACCAATGTTTAGTTTGCAATTAATCAATTTATTAAGGGATAATACAAACTGAGGGATCAAGGTTCAGGAGAGGTTAACTAGGTATGTATACTGGAAAAGGAATTCAAAGGCACTAAAGTTTATGAAGGCACACTCCGAAGGAGAGGTGTAAATCAATGAAGTGAAAGGGTAGGAGTTGAGCCTAGTAAGAAAGTTAAAGTGTGTGTGTGTATGCGTGTGTGTGTGTGTGTATATTTACCCTCCTTCCTTTGCGTAGCGCAGTTCTCGAAACCAGGCTGGGCAGGCAGGGTCCCTGGGAGCGGGCACAGGCGGTGCCCCCCTCTTTGCTTCTCCTCGCAGCGGAGTGGCACTCAGGCAGGTTCAGGTGCTGCAGCGGGGTCTTGTCCCAGGCAGGCAGAGAGAGCGAGCAGAGACCCCCAGAGAGCAGATCCTACTCTCTTTTTTATGGATCAGAGACCATTGTTCCAGAAAGCACCACGGTCTGAATTAGCCAATCACCATTGGCCAGGTACATATTCTGTTAGAGGCAGTTTTTAACCTATTGTCTATTTCTCTGCCACTTATTATGACCCTTGTGCTGCTTCTTCGCTCTGCACTTATCTGGTAGTGCAAGAGGCCTGCTCATTCTGTCCTTGAGTGAATCAGTGAAAAGGCATCACTCCTGTCTTGCTGACTTGAAAGGCATTTGTTGTTTAGTCTTCTGTAGAGGGGAAAAAGAGGGACTGTTCCCCACACCCACTCATCCCCCTTTTGCAGGCCTTGCTCCCCTTGCCCTCAACTTTCTCTGTGAATCGAATACTGTGCTTAATGAGTGGAATGAACTGTCTAGTTGTATCCAAGGTTGTAATTCAGTGAGGTACAGCTTCAGTGGCAATACCGTTTTTATATAGCTCCTGCCCCTAAGGCTAGCCCTTCTCCCTCCCTGCCCCTGCTCCATTCTGGGACTTTATGGAAAGATAAAATCTCATTAAAACTAAAGCTTTGATTTGTGACTCAAAACCCTGTATCTTCAAGCCATGATCTGAAGGGAGGAGTTTAGGCTTCAATCACTTTAGCCTGTGCTGCAGCTGAGGGTGGTCCTGTATTTGCAAAGAAGCTTATTATTGGAGTTTCTCTTGGGTTGTTACTAGTGTGTGTGCAGCCTTGTCAGCTAAAAAATAAACTATTTTGATTAGTTTAGTTTTTATTTAAATCACTTTCTTGATCTTATCATCAGGTGGGGCACAAGTGAGACTGCTGGTGCAAGCAATAAGATGAGAGCAAGAAGAGGGTAGAACTAGTTCTTTAGGCAGTAATACAGATTTATAATCAGCTAATGGTGGCCTTGGTCACACAGCTGACTTGAAAGATTGCTAGCTACAATGATTTCCACTTCAAGCTTTAAATCGGATGAATCTTTGCTGATTATTTCTTGCAGTATCTAAGACACAACTTCAGAAGTGATCAGTGCATTAAGTCCATGCTTGAATACCATAGAGAGACAAATGAGACCGAGAAAAACTGGCACACAAAGACTTGATAAACATTAGTGAAGCGTCTGAAAGTCAATATGCTGTATTTAATGTTGCAACATCCTTGCTTTAGAATATGTAATCACTGCATCTTTTTGGACTTCTCTCTACTAGTATCGCTTTTATAAACAAATACACGAATGTTGAGATTTATGTATAAATAGTTTCTATGACTAGTAGTTATTAAAGATAGAAAATGGTACTCTATGCTGCCTTACAGTCTCAGAAAGCAAATCCAATAATTACAGTTACAGTTCTTAAAAGAAATCTTAACAAATCCTTGGTGGATTAATTTAAGTATTTTACAGCTGACAATTCTGAGTGATTAATGCATGAGTGATTTTTTGTATTAAAACTAAATAATGAAGTTTACTTAAAAATCAATGCCAGAGGTGCTTCCTCTTTAGCATTGCTGTCCTGCTTTGAGCCAGGATGAAGCCAATTTTCTTTTTACTGATTATTTTTCCTTCAGTAAGCTTTTTTTTAACTAGTACCAGAGTGTTCCAACTAAGACTGATAACAAATGGAATGTTTTTCTAACTGCTGGGTCTTCAAGGTCACATCTTTGCTCTGCCAGCTCAGACACTACAGGGAGATCTATGGCCCCCCCATAGGGGGCTGAATTAGACAGACAGAAAAATTGGCCAGAGACATTCCATTCCATATATCTATGTAAGCTAAGAGGAAGGTCAGAGATCACAGAAGACAACTTCCTTCCTGCTGCTTCTTCCCTTTTTCTTCCGTCCATGGCCAGTGTCTTGGGAGGACTCCATCCATCCATCCATCACCGTCGACCTCTAGGCTCGAGCTCTCCTGACCCTCAGAACTCTGTTCTTTCTCCAGCAGCAGTCTGGGTTTTTTCAGGACTGTTCGCAGCTAAGGAGAGTGCTGTGGGAGTTTCTGGCCCTTTGCCCCTAGGCTCATCTCTGGTGAGCCTGGTTTTATTCCCCTCCCCCTTCAAGTCTAGTGTAAAGCCCTGTCCATGAGCCCTGCTAATTCTTGCCCTAGTGTCCTTTTCCCCCTGTGAGACAGGGTTTTCCCATCTGTTGCGACAAGGCCTGGTGTCCTGTAGGTCAAGCTGTGGTCAAAAAATCCAAAGTCCTACTGGTAGCACCAGGTTTGGAGCCAGGCATTGATCTGTTGGGTCTTCTTGTTTACCCATTCATCATTCCCTGAAACTGAAGAGATAGAGTAGAACACAACTTGTGCTCCCGATTCCTTGACCAATTATCCCAAGGCCCTGAAATCTTTCTTCATTATCCTTGGACTTCTTCTCTCTACTTCATCACTACCTACCTGAAAGATCAAGAGAGGATAGTAATTTGAGGGCTGTATCAGACCAGGGAGTTTCCTGGTTATATCCCTAAACTGGGCCCCAGGGAGGCATCAGACCTCCCTGTGGGAACGGTCCAGTCAGCGTATGGGACCCTCAGTTCCCCTCAGAAGGGAATCTCCTATAACAATCACCCTCTTCTTTGCAGCATCAGTCCTAATGCGTGGAGCCGGCTGCTTCAGTGACTCCCTGGATGGGGCTTCATCAGCATTGTCATTTCCTCAGTCCTTTATCTCCAGTGCTCTGCACCTGCTCTGTGAGGGCACGTAGGAAAGCAGGGGAGGTCCAGAGGGGACGCTCCTGCTGCCCTGAGCAGGGTCCTGCTTCCGTTCCTCCCCATCCTCACCTAGTTCCCCTCCTTCCACCTGGTGACAAGAGGGAAGGGAATCCTCCACCTCTCTGCTGTCCTCTCCGCCACCAGCCGTTTCTTCCTGCAGGGCCCCATACCT